TTTTCCAAGATATTAAAGATCATAATGCAAAAAAACTAAATCTATCAAATGTAACAGGCTTTATGTTTCTTAAACTACGTGCATTTATGAAAGTTCTTATGAAGTTTCAAACAATTTCATCCATTAGTTTTATTGTTGGAATGAAATAGAGCAAGACTTGCATTGGCTACTAAGAAAGATAGTAGCTGGTGGTCATCGGGTTAAATAAAGGTACATTTTACCAACCCAATAAACTAAAGAAAATTTACAAACAATGATGTTAATTAAAAATAAATATAAACTACAAACATTTCAAAAAGAAAATGACATGTAACACTTTTATACTGATTCAGATTAATAATGCATATTTAAGTTAGCAGACCACCAAAACAAGCAAAAAAGTTTAATCATGTATTTCTTACTATAAATGCACAATCACCTGTTCAAGTTTCCTTTTCAGACAAGCAACTTCCTTCGGGTTTGAGTATCCTATATCCAGTCCAGGAGATAAGGCATAAATAAAAATGACACCATTTTCCTTTGCAGCTTGGATAAGCCCTGTTAGGTATTCTGGAAATAACCAAGTTTTCATTGCAAATCCTGTACTACTAAAAACTTTACAACTGATAAAAAACATGCACTGGAATAAATTTTAAGTTAACAATGTTATGAGCCAAAAACACAATGAAAACAGGATAGCAACCTGTATATTTCTCATGTACATTTTCCAAACCAAGGTAGCATTTTTAAAGTTGCCATATCTGTAACTAAACATATCTCTAAAATGTGGACTTTTAACATTTACAAAAGACATGTCTGAATCTTATTCTTAAACAAACAACTTGATAACAATCACTGTGCAAATATCCAGTAGCTTGGATATTTTACATACCAATATATGCCTACACTTGCTAGGCTGAGCAACCAATAAAAGTGGTAAAACAGAAAAGTTTCTACTTTTATAATGTTATTACAAATTTTTTTCTGTTAGATATTTTTCTGAAAATAAACATTACCTTGATAATGATCTCTCATAGTACATGGCAAAAGTGCATCATAAACATTGCTTTTATAGTTTTATATAGAACATGCATATTTTTTAATACTTGACAGAACCTTATCAGCAACATTTACACCAAGTGGCCACAATGCCTAGCTAATGGTTTAATAACTGAATTTGTCTATGTGGTTATTAATCGTTAAAGATGAGTCATTAAATGATACTGACCAATAATATTTTTCAGTAAAATGTCTTTCATAATAAGTAGAATATATAAAAAAAACAACTGCTAGTGATTACCTAAAATTCAAATATTTAAACAAGTGAAACTGGTCATACTGGTTACAAAAAAATCTTTCTCCCACAATAGTGAGGATATAGAACCTTACTTCAGTGTTAGTTAATAAAGCATCACTTCTACCATGATAAATATTGGGAACATAGAACATTACTTATTAGATCACATAAAAATTCATTATTATTATTATTTTCATTTTCAGAAAAATTAAAATCCATGTTTGTGGAATAAAGCTACTGTTAATTTATATTTTGAAAATGCAAAAAAACACAAGGCAATTTATTGACATGGTTGAACTTTATGTACTTAACAGATGCACTGAAAGATAACTCTTTCAACACAAGCTCGGTCAATTTGACAAATCACATGACCTCTTTGTACTTATTTAGTTTTTATAGAATTAATACTTCTGACTTTCAATATAGTGTGTATATCTTCACAAAATTTGGTAGTCTTTCAGTTAATATTACAAGTCTTTGACATATAAAAAATCATATCTTTTAGTGAAGTATTTTTAATAAAATAAAAATTTGTCCATGAATATATTGAGTATTTGGTTTTAATAGTCTGTGCGCAAAGTAATTTTCACGTTAAAATTAAAAATACTTTTCCTCATCTCAAAAATCTCAAATTTTCTTTGTGTAATCCCTAAAACCTTCTAAATGCATTTCAAACGTTTTTTTTCAATAAAACTTTATTGTTTATCTGTTAATTTCTCTATCTCAAAACAGGATCAGTCAGTTCGACCACCCCTCGTAACCACCAAAAAAATATAGAAATAAACCTAAATTCCCCTTTTTTCATTCTAGAATGACTTCAAACTGTAACATGAAACTACGTTCATTTATCCTAAGTAGCTCCAAGTTTGTAACAGTATACATCTAGTTATAATTAAATTTTATTGTTTTATTGTCATTTGAACCATGTATAACTACTATCTGCACCATTATAAGTTGTAAATCACTTGGGGAATGTCCAGCTCACATTATACTAACAAATTACATTACCCACGAGCTGCTTGTGTGTGACTCGTGAAACATTATTATAATATTATTATTTATTTTACCTAATCTAATCTTAACAAACCTAAAAGGATCCCCATTTTCACATTTTAGTTACTTTTATAGTTATACATAAAGAGTAAATATAGAAAACAATAAATAAAATACTTAACCAATCTTTTTTTCTTGTTGTCGGTTTTCGAAGAGAGCTAACCCTAATTTTTTTTATACAATAAAAAGTAATGCACTTAATAACTTTTATTTAATTAAATAATGCACCAAAGAATATAGACTAAACATTCAAAAAGTAGACAAATTCTCCTACATCTCAAAATTTTTCTGCTTTCTAACTATGGGACAAGAGTCATTATAAATTCATCCAAGCTAGTTGTTAACTTTCCCACGAGAATGATGTTGGTACTCTAAGACAAACTGACATCTAACTGTTCAGAACATAATGTTATACAATATGTCATTTGATAGATGAAAACCTCAACTTTCTACTGGTTATAGGTAATACATAATCAAACTTAAAAGAGAACAATCAACGAATTCTGAAAGAGAGGATGCGACAGGTTGGTGTGGCAGGAGGGTTCTGATTTTCTATTTGATAGCTCTGTAACCAAACAAAATTGAAGACTATAAAAATTATGGTTAGTCTGAGCAATAATGATTTTATAGAGTAAACTGGGGGGTGGTGGATAAAATAGGGATGATGACATGCTAAGAGTAGAAATTCAGGATTTTTTTAAAATAGTGCCTTGTAGAATTTACTTAAAACTTGTATACTATTAAGATATGGATTATTAGCTAAGATTTAATGCTATTCTAATTGGTATAACACAAAAAATTAGTTTAATAAAATTTTGAATGTAAGACACTGAAAACTTGATATGCGCAGTAATGGATACCTGGGGCAACAGGGTCAAAGCTTATAACAGTATACATCTATTTATTTATTTATTTTTTGCTTTGTTTTATTGACTTTTGAACCATGTCTAACTAATAATCCTGTCACACAAGTTGTAAATCATCCAGCACACGAGCAGCTCATGTTACCATATAGAATAGAATAAAACTCACCAACAAAATAAAAATATCCTACTCTTCTTATTCTTAGTACTAGCATACGAGCATTTTGTAAACTAGTGATATTTCAGTTATCTCACACACATACAAACACACACACACACAATATATATATATATATATATGAAATACACAAAACAAGCCAAAACAAACAAAATTAAAAATGCTGCATAAATTAAAAGAATCCCCAGGTTACAGGCTATCTGCTGTGTCCACCGAGGGGAATCAAATCCCTGATTCTAGCATTATAAATTCGAAGACTCACTGCTGTCCCACCGGGGGACTTGGAAGTAGAGGATACACCGTCTATCAGACTTAATCTCCAATCCTCAATCTCACGTGAAGAAATTCATTAAGAAAAATAAAATCATCAAAAAAAAAGTACAAGCTAGAAGAGCAAGGTGTAGGTGTTCAAGCCCACAACGTCCCACATCTATATCACCCTTCACTTAGTTCATTGTTCTCGAGGGGTATGTATTGTTTGGCAAGTGTTTCTCGCCTTGTATGTAATAGTTTGCTAAACAGTTAAATTGCATTTAGGTTTTAGATTTATATCTTAATTAATTATGTATTATTTGTGTTTTAAAATACATATTTGAAATGTTTAACTTGTTGTAGTTTGGCTTACCAAAATGTCTAAGCAAGATAGCATCATTTGTGTGTGTGTGTGTGTGTTTGGAATTTGTGCACGAGGCTCGTCCCATAACAACAAAGCACCGCATAAGACATGTTGTGGATCTTGGGATAATGAATAACTGACAAAGAATTAGATAGGAAAATTAAAAATAAACGACAAGTGAAAACATAAAGACGTGAAATTATGCATGACAAAAATAATTTAAAACTATTCTTCAAAAATTGAAAAAGGTATATACTTACTTCCATTTCTTAATTTTAAACATTTTATTGCACTGTACGTTGATGATGATATCTGGAGTTAATGATATAATAGAGAAAATGGAAAACAAAATATAAACATTTACCTTAAAAAACTTTTGATATTCATTTAGGAGGTTCTAGAGATTATGCAAATAAAATGTGGAAACTGTGAGATAAGAAATAGTATTTTTTATACTCAAAATAAAAATCACATGGCATGTAAGCTATTCAGATTAAATAATGAATGTTTTATTATAAATAGTATAAAAAATCATAATTAAATATATATTTTTTAAAGTACATAATCTTAGGACCATTCAAGTCAAATTTAAAACTATTTTATCAACTAGTTTCATTTTTATAAAGAACTTTCACAAATGTTGTATACCTACTTACAATGTAAGTAGATCGCAGTTAAAGGGTGAAGGATAATTGGCCTTAGAGAAGAGTACATGCATTCATTTCACAGGATGCAAAAACTAATAAAACTTTATAAAATGCTTAGGTGATGATTAATTCAAACAAATACTGTTATATTTGTACTACTACAGAATACAAAAACAAATAAAAATTATCAAGCTCAGTAAACAAAGTATCTTATAAACTAAATTATCTAGTGAAAATATTTACCTGCTTCTTCTACAGTATATAGTTCTCTCCAGTAAGCTCTATGTTTAAAATCATCTTTTGGAGCATACATGTAGGTGTTCATTCCCCATCTTTTCATCCTGTTAAAGCAAAAACTTGTTAAAATTATGTAAATACTAGCAAAGTACCTAGCTTTGCTCAGGTTATTAGGTTGATATATTCTAGATGACTATATCAGTGTATATATTTTGAACCTATTTTACCACAGAAGAACAGTCAAATTTTTAAAGGTTTATTTTGTAATAAAGGACTTAAAGCTTGAATAAAATAAAACTTCAAATCACAACACACATTATTATATTAACTTCATTAGCATACATTGATAGTAAAGGTGTTTAAATTTTGAATGTAACACAATGACTTACACAGAAAAGCATTTAAAGGAGCTTCCATTTTTAATGATGTATAACATATTACAAAATCCTACTTTTTTCTCATTCTGTATTATGTTTTTATTTACAATTAAAGTGTATATTATATAAAAAAACAATTCTATTAAACTATGATTTAAAGTTGTAGTGGTAGTATATGACTAAACAAAAAAAACTATTTTCAGGCCTATTTTATGAAGATTTAATTCAAAGTTGCAAAACAAGTCACAGGCCAAAGTTAAAAAAAAACAGGTCCATAAAGCATTTATTATTAACTCTCAGGAATACCAGTTGTTTTTCATAACTGCAAAATGAACAGTTTTACATATAATACGTATTATCACTGAAATAAAGAACTTACTTCTCAAACAAATCTCTTCTCTGTTCTGCTGTCCATGGTCTACCATAGAACCCTGAAATATAATGAAGTAACAGTTGAAATATCAACAGAAATAATACTGTTTTTATTATATATTCTATTTTCTTATGCTACATAAATGTAATAAATTATATTTTACTAGTTTCCCTCATTTGTTGAAATAACTATTTTAACAGTTTCTTTTTTGATTAAAAAAATTCCCACCTGAAATATAAAACTTATGGTACTACATCCCAGAAAGAGCTTAGAGATTTACTTGGGATGGTTTTTGTTAACAGTTGTGTTTGATTTATAAAAGCAGTACAAAGACAGCTTTTATAAGTATGGTGGAGATAATTACTATCTATTCATATTAGTTTTAACTAATATTTCACTGCAAAACATCTTTCAACAAAGTGGGTTAGGTCACTATATCATTAAGCCCATATTTGTTTATGGGCATGTTATGTAATAGCATACAGAATTGACAGTAAAATAATTGAAGAAAATAATGAGATAATACCTGTTACTGTAGTCTAAATTTCAAGTTACAAGTAATATTACATAAGAATGAACAGAAAAACTGTTGATTCTTACATATAGCATATCTCACTACCACCCAAACCTGAAAGAAAGTTGCTCCTTGATTTACAGGATGCCCTTGTCATTCCAGGCCTTTAGAAATGTTTCCCTTCCCAAATAAATGGCTTAATTTTTACAAGTAATCATATGTTTTATAACAAGCCTTCATGTTTGATGGGTACTATTGCACTGATGATCGTTAGCACCTGGAAAATGGATTTTGCAAGGGCTTGTAAGCCCACCCAACAAGTCTGTAATGACAGTGTTCATACAATCAGATGTTATTTGTTTACACAGGACAAGCTCACAGGTAATTTCATATGACCTTGGTAGCTGCTACAACTCCAGTACTATAATTTTAATTGGCCTAAACTAGTAATGTTATTTGCACAGTAATACGATATTTTTGAACTATTTTGTACAACAAATTTCAGCCCTTGACTTCTGCAGATGAGGAACTATTGGAGGGAAAGAAAAACAAAGGGGTCAGAGAAAGATGTGGAGGATATAGGTGATTCCTTGACAAGGCATGTGGATAGAATAGTTTGTGTGGTAAATAGGGAGAAAAGAATCAGATTATGTTAACTAGGGGCACAGATGGATGATATACTGACAGAGCAGGAGATATAATAAAGAGGGCTAACAGATGTAGTTTTGTGGTGCATGTACCAGTAATGATGTAGGGAAAGATAGGTCAGAGGAGCTAATTAATAAGTTCAAGGGGTTGATAAAGGCATTTAAAGAAAAAGACAGTAAATTAATTTTGTCAGGGATACTGCCCAGAATTAACTGTGGGGATGAAGTTATAAGTAGGTCACTAGGGCTAAATGCTAGGCTTAGGTTTGTATGAGCAAATTGGCTGGTTGGACTTGTGGGATCAGTTCAGTGGAAGAAGGGAGCTTTTAGAAATGGATGATTTACATTTAAATATAGTAGGGGCTGGCTTGTTTGCTAAGGCGATTAACTCAGCTGTAAGTGGTGAGGGACAGGAAAAACAAAATGCAAAAAGAATAAGAGACAGAAAAAAAGTTTAGCACAGAAAATGAGTATAGAAGTAGTTATAAGGGCAGACGTAATTGTTATTATTGTAATGCTAGAATTATAGGAAATAAAATAGATGACTTCAGAGCACTGGTAGAAATGGAGGATTTTGATATAATGAGAATAACTGAAACATGGTTAAACGTACATGCTTTTATGACATAAATTTCTTTGAAACACAGGGTTACAGGCTATATAATATGGATAGAGCATTAAACAGAGGGGGAGGAGTGGCTTTATATGTAAAATGCGAGTTATATTCTGTTGAAGTTGAGGACATGAAAGAAAATAGCAAAGAGATTGAATCAATTTGGGTTTCTATTAGTGGATATAGATGAAGAAATAGTCGATAAATTACTTAAATTTGCAGATGATATTAACTCTTTCAGCACAGGCTCGGTCCCTGGGACCGACCTCATAACCATTTTGTGCTTGCTACAGTTTTCATGGTACAACTTTTACACTATTAAGCAAATGTCAACAAAATTTGGCAGATTATCAGTAAACATTATAATGCTTTCTTAATACGTAAAATATAATTTTTTTTTAAATCAAGTTTTAAGGTTTGTAAAGCAATGTTTCTCTTTTGCCTTTTTTTTTCTTTTTGCATGTTGCCTATCTATCATTTCAATTGGAATAACCTTAATAGTGTTAGGAAGTAAAAGGATCTTGATGTAATAGTTGTTCAGTCTCTAAAGCCATCCAAGCAGTGTGCTGTTGCTAGTGGTAGGGCAAATAAGATTTTAGGTTGTACCCACAGAATTATTGAATACAAGTCTAAAGAGGTTATAATTTCCTTTTACAGGTCACTGGTTAGGCCACATTTGGAATATTGTGTTGAGTCTTGGGTCAGATTTTAAAAATAATATACATATATATATACTATATTGTTGTTTGGCTTAGGATTCTTCTAAAGTAGATGTCTGTGTCTTGTTAGCAATAAATGCAATGATGAATAAACAGCATACACTTTACTTGTCTTCAAATAATAAATATATATATATATATATATATATATATATTCGGAACAATTAAACGTATGTACAACAAAGTCTTCACACCATAGAGATTATTGGCATATCATAAACACTATTTATACACAGTTCGCTTCTTGTCAAAAGTCCACTTTGGCCTATACAATTACTTTAGAATTTCAGTTGACAAACCAAACTATCTACTCTATATTACTATTGTACTAGTATTCTGTGTGTGATTCACTTACAGTTGTGGCACAAGTTACTGTAATTTGTTTTGTCTTCTGAAGATCCTATGTTCATTTTGTCAAAGTGTACCCAGACTGATTCAATTACTTTAGAACCATGCTTAGACAGAATAAAATTATCCATCTTATCTTTTTTTTTTATACTGTTAAATGTTAGGCCTATCACTTTTACATTACTTAACTTCACACCAACTATATTCTCTTTGCTTTTATCTGTCTAATACTTCCTGGCCATCTCACGCTATTTATATCTTTATTACATAGTAATCTGGCCACTTTCTATATTCTTGACTCCAATTACTTATTAACAAAACTTTCTACAATTGTCTGCTTTTTACTCTTACTATAACAAAACTCAAAAATAATAAAATATTCACTCACAAATACAAATCAATCACTAATATTCAAACCAAACAGTCTTTTATATAATGACAGACTACTTACCTTAGGAAAGACACTGTATTGTTAGAAAGGGTTCAGAGAAGGGTTACTGGGATGGAGGGGTTGTCATGAAGAGAGGCTGAAATCTCTCAAATTGTTTTCTCTTGAAAAAAAGAAGAGTTAGGGGGGATCTGATTGAGGTGTTTAAGATTGTAAAGGGAATTGATATTGTTGATACATCATCTTTGTTTTTCATATTTAACATTGAGAATAGTAGGACTAGGGGACACAACTATAAATTTTGGCAGGGTACCAGTCATCTTCAGCTAAGACAGTTTCATTTCTCTCACAGGGTGGTTGGCCTTTGGAATGGGTTGCTTTCAGATGTTGTGGAGGCAGTAAATTTAAGAAAAAGCTTGTTAAGTATATGAATGATAAGAGCTGGATTTAAGATTTTCCTTTTTAATTATTTTCAATTTAGTTTAGAGAATGGAACAGCTGAGATAGACCAATAGGTCCCATGTTGTCTCAAAACATTGTTATATAGACATCCAATATTTGTAACTGAGAAATTAAATAAATGTGTAGTGGCATTTATAATGAAATATCATGCAAAAAAAAAAAACTGATCTTCAGAAATGTCAACTGGTTATCACAGTTGAAGTATGCAAACTTCGGGTAATGTTTCATTTCAATTTTGTTGGGCATTACTTTACAATGACATGGTAAAAAATCTCTCAGCCACCTATTCTGGATGGGTAAAAAGTGATTAGGAAAAAGATGAAAAAATTAGTATCCCCAAGGGTAACAAACCTTTAAAAAACATTGTAAATGGGAGGAGCTAACTTGACAGTTTGATAGTAGGTCATTATTACTTGTGCAAGTTTTAGTGCTGGGCACTTGATTACCGAAAAGCACTGATGAATGTCATGTAAAATAATCAACTAATCAAAATTATTAGATCATTCTAACTATACAAGTAACTGAAATATTGCAATTTTGATTTCTTCAACATTAGTTTCAACACATTCATGCATCCTCTACAGTCTAACATTGTCTTCTGGCAGGAAAACTGGTCAACATGTTTGTCTTGACTTCTAACCTCCCTCAGCAAATAATAAAGTAATCATCAAATCCAGCCATTTATCAACCTTGTTTCCAAACATCTCTCAAGCTACAACCTATCATTCTAAATGGCAATTTGTTCCACTGATTTACCATCCTATTGAAGAAAAAACTGTCCAAATAGATGTGTCCGACTTTTCCAAACCTTAAAATATATGACCTTTTCTTCTACTGTCCACAGGGATCTTAAAATAAAAATCTTATCTTTAACAAATGAATTCTGTATTTATTGTTTCAACTATATCCAGAGCTTGAGAAGTTTTTAGTACCCTTTGAAGTCTATATTTTCTATAATTCATATTAAAAAGATTCTTCTCAAAATCAACAAATAGGAAAAAAATTAAAGCAGACTTATGACTTCTATTGAGTATTCTGCTGTGTACCTAACAGATAAAATATTTCTTTAGAAAAGAAAAATACAACAAATTTATGTACATGCCATACTGAAATAGTATTATGATTTGAAAAGTAGTACTTGCTTTCATGATAATTTTTATATGCGAGTGACAATTCATGAATCAACCATTATTAATGAAGTTTTGAAAAGGGTACCAAGATGATAAACCAATTTATAAGTTTGTACTCTACAAGTAAACAATAAAAACATACTACAGGTTGCACCTTTGTCTTTTTGAGTGCCATATAAATTCTTCAAACAAAAGTGAAATAATACTTCAGTAATCAAACCTGAAATTTGTGTAATAAATTTTACTTTAATTACAGTATGTAGTATTTTTGTCCAACATTTTATTATTTACACAATTATAATTGTACTTTAAAGCAGACCTTTAACTTATTTACATACTGCCACATAATAATCAGATTTTAATTAATTGATTATTAATAAATAGTTTCAATTTATATTTTCACAACACCATGGCACACAAAAGCACCTATTTTTATTATGCATGATGCCAAAATATGACAGGGAAATAAATTTGTTAACCTTCATTCTCAAGACTATCATAGAGGATGTCTGATCATTGACAGTTACAGCCTATCAAACTTCAACCCCTTTAGTTTTATTTTAATCCATCAAATTACAAAATGTACATTCATGCCAACGTCCATGGATAACAACCACATCAGTTATTAAGACTTGAACACTATTTATGTTCTATGTATTGCTTTTATAATTTCAGAACTTGTGCTATGTTTTATAATATTCATTCCACTGATTCATACCTATGCTATACCACACACTACAGATCTGTTGCTGAACCAACCATTAGTTAAAGTATAACTACTATTACTAACATTAGTAGGAAACGTACATCATATGGTTGCATACATATTTCCTGTCCCAACTTTATTTTTACATTTTAACTCACCCAATTAACCATGATATTGCTAGTACTTAAGTACAATATATAGCTTGTAATACTAATAGTAGGAGGGTCCCAAAGAAATATATAGTTTCCAGCCACAAAAGTATGTGAATGCAAAGTCACAAATATACAAGTCCTATGTAAACAAAATACTAATTAACGTACACCAAACAACTATAAAATGTCTACAGTACTAATACACACTGAATTTGCATGACTTATTGGATCCAGAAGCATTTGCTACTTGAAAACACACAAACAAAACTTTAAATTAATTAAAAATTATTTAGCCATTGAATTTGTAGAAACAAAGCCATACAATAAATTTGGTGGTGCAGATTACATAATGCATAAACCGATACAGATATGTCTGCCTGAATCAAACTAACTTCATGTCAAAAAATAATGAATCAGAAACAAACAGTTGCTATGTCATATCACTGGGCGTGGCTAGAGTGAAAGAATGTGTGTAAGAATAGATTAAAAAAGATAAAAACTATATATACACTGGTAATAAAATCTAGGAGAACCTTATTTTGAGATAATAGTCTATGATAAAAGTGGTATGAATGATGTATCAATTACATTATGACATGACATAGAACAGGTAGAGGTTACTACTGTTACATATCTGTCAATCACAGTATTTCAACTTCACAACCAATGAGATTGCAAAATCTCTCCTATACTTTCATACTTCATTATTAAATATTCTAATTTCATTTACCCATATAATATCAATCCACATGTATGAGTTTGAAATTGAATGACTATATTTGGACTACACTTTATCTTGCCTTTACACAGGTGTCACATAGTATCACCATCAGGTTACCAGGTAAAGCAATAATTTGACACCAATCACTGTCATTTTGTCAACCTTCATGTGTGATTTTTTTTTCATTATTTAAAAAATCATCGAAATCACCTACTAAGAGTTATATAGATATGGCACAGAGAAATGAATGCAACTGGTGTGTAGACATGCATTATTTAACTTCAACAACTTCAAGTATTGATATGATTATCATCCAGTGTCTATATACAAATGTGGATAACTAAGGCCAAGTAAAAAAAAAAAAATAACACGTTTAGCGTCTTCGCCAATTTTTTTTTTGTCACCCGTCTCCCACACACACACTAATTTTTTTTTGGCTATTTTCTCCTTTTTTGAATAAACGTTTTCGATCATTCAAAGAAATAAAGACTTCAGAATAAAAAAAATGAGATGAACATAGTTGATTTACTTTGCCCCTTTTTTTTGTCATAAATTATTTCATTTTGATGAAAAAGTGAAAAAAAAAAAACTTCTGTGTAACATGGACCCGTTGAAAATGAAAACATGCAACAATCGTGAAAAACGGGTGCAAATATTTTAAAATGAAGTCACGTAAAGAAAGACCTCCTCCTTCCTTTTTTCGGAAACTCAGAACGCTATATATGTTTGTTTGTTTTTTACTCGACCTTATGCTATTGTACATACACACTCGCAGTGAAAATTTTTTACTAAACTGAAGCTCGTTCTATAATTCATTGCTACATCACTTCCGTCCCTATGTAATTCGTTTGATTTCCTTACCCTTGGTTACACTATTGAGAAATGTTTGGACCGCATAGAACTATGGGATCGTCTTCCCCAATTCAACAAACATGGCGCTTTGGTCTTGCGTAACAATGTTTGCTTACTCAAACTGTGGCAAATATTTGTAATGTTATATATTATAATTGCAAAGAAATAACTAACTACAGAATTACTTTTCAAATACTTCAAAATATATCCTGATTGTGAATATCCAAAGCACATAAAATTTGATTTCCTACTTATAGTACTACATTGCTCAGCTTATAATGGTTGGAGACGGCTTGAATGGGTAATGAAGAAAAACTTTTAATATAACAGCAAATGTACAACGTTTCGACAAGGTTCTGTCATCATCAGGT